TATGGTACCCATTGGTGCGGTGACAAGCCCCACAATAAGATCTGCCAGTCCCAGATTGGCAACGAAGAAGCTGAATGGCGAACGCAGGTCTCTGTTGGGATCTAGGAGAACGGCGACCACCACTAAAAAGTTGCCTACAATAGCGACAATTGATGATAATATTGTCGTAGAAGCCGAGGTGAATGATAAATAAGTTGGAGCTGAGATATTATTGCACGGATACAAACCCAAAAGGGACATTCTGTTGAGATAAACGGCTGTGTTATGATTCAATAAAAAGACCAAACAGTACTAAAGTTGCTTATTTCCGCATGGTGCTGATTCCGTACAAAACAAAAAAAATATTCGTCTCTCTAGAGGTCGCGTGAAATGTCTCTCCGTCACGCAACATCAATTATTAGTCATTCAGTAGAATTCATGAGAACTATTGAAAACCTCCATCGCAACTATCGATTTTCATAACGGAAGATATCAAAAATAGTAATTTTGATATGCAAGGAATTTCAAATAGCCATTAAAGCACCAGTTTCGCGTGAACTATCCTTAGTTTCGAAACAGCATCATGCTTCAACCAACCGATTTTCAACTATTTCGTCTTAAATTTGGCACGTTATCACCTTAAAATTATTTGCACTATTAACAAGGATATTGAGAGAACACTCGGCATGTTACTTATTGATGGAACTCAAACGAACCATTTTAAATCCTGGGACAGCTCATTTCCCAAATTCTGACTGAAAAATTAGTAATTGTTGACCACATTAAGCCGCTTGGAGCTAACTTTAGAACTGTACTTATACATCTAATGCTTCAATGATCTTTAGTATCAAACCATTAAATTGGATAGTAATGTATATCTATTCAATCGGATGATTTATTACACGTCGTGAATGTGAGAATTTTTCTGAAATAACTTCTTTCAAGACGATGACATTGCCCGTCAGTAGGAAAATTTTCATCATTAAATTAAGAACACGCAAGGCATAGATAGGGATTCAGTTTCTCTGTAGATCTAGGACATTAACAATTCACAAGAGAGAAAACTCTCAGTGGCGTAGCCAGTATTTTTCAAAGAAGGAGGGCTCACTGTTTTAAACAGAGAGTACCTACCAGATTTTAATGTCGACCTCCACGCCATGTTTTCCTTAATGTGACAATGAAAGGCTTACAATGAGGGGGTCAGTGGAACCCCTGGTTTCCCCTCCTACCCTTGCTACGCCCTTGACTCTTAAACTAGCAAAGATTATGATACATTACGGATATACGTCAGTGTCTGAGTGACAAGGCACCCACCCCTCCTCTTACTCAATGTTAACCCTAAATTGTTATCAGCTGACCGCTGACCGTAATTGGTTTAGGGGAGGGGTAAGAGCGCAGTTGCTCGGAGACTGACATTGATCTCAATTTTCATTGAACTTTGGTATTTTTAAATTGAACCTTTCTCCTCTGTCGTTAGCAAAGCTACAACTGTCATAGAATGCTACGTTTAAGTTTCAAACTGAGTGATCTTCCGGAACGGGGAGAAGTATTTGAAAAATAGACTGTCCTCAGTTAAAAGTTACATGGGATTCCTCTATGAATTACAAGTAAAAGAATCCCAACCCAGACACCGGACAGACATGAATCCCTCTTGAAACACTAAAACTCTCTAATTACCCGTTTTTGTTAACATCTATCGATTTAAATAAGATGTCATCTCAAACTGAGCTTCATCGCGTGCTTGTCACAAAATCTTCTTTCTGTCTACCCAAGAGAAACTTGTTTCAAGTCTTAATTAACAACGCGAAACCAAGCTTTATATTTTCATGGCGTTAGGTTATTTTTGCTCCTCACTCACCCCAACGTAACAATCTAAGCAACTTACGGGGCGACAATAGATAACTTGCAAGTCAGTCAAACTCTTATTTTATCTACTTTCTGCCTGGTTAAAGCGCATTTTAAGCTCTAAGGCTGTGTAAAGAAGCTGTCATTGAACGGAAGCAGAAGACGTTTTGAGGGTATTCAACAGGTAGAAATTTCTCGTATAATTCGATTACTCTGAGACCTGTTTTTGAGCACGAGTTTGCCGCTGAGCAGGAGACCCTGTCAATATCTTAATCCTGGGTTACACGTTGTTATAGTAGTTAAGCCGGGATTATATCTGATTCTGCTTTTAACTCCCAAGCTCTGGAATCCACTGGATAACATCAAGTAAATCTTCATTTTCATCCGAATGAGGATCTACGGTTAAACTAAACATACATGTAATGAAAAGATATTCGATTTTGTTTGGGGAAAGGTCAATTTGAAGGCGGAGATTCCTAATCGATCTAATCTATTTTTTAATAGAAATTTATTATATATAGCAATCGAATTCAAGGAAATACAGGCATTTCACATCCATTTTGATTATTGTTTTCATCTTAAAAAAGATAGAAATGATTTTGTAAAAGTATACAATAAAAATATCTACCTTGAGATCAAAAGGATCTTTTCTGTGATCCTGTATCCTTCCACAGTTGCAGGCATTAACACTGGTGATACTACTTGAGTGAGGCTTACATGGATTAATCCCAAGCTCCTTGGATTCCTCGGAGACTGGATCGGAGGGCATCTCACCTTCCGCAGGGACCCGGTGGTACTACAGAGAAAATGCCGAAAACTATGATCAGTGCATTGTAACTTTGTAGTTAGATGAACACTATACTATTGAAAGATTATTCGCACCCAGATGAGCGGTATACATGCAGTCATATAGGGAGAATAAATCCGACGAATTGCGCATAAATCTTTTTTTTCCAAGCTATCGCGCGTCATCATATGTTTCATGCAGTGAAATGTTTTATATGACCAAAGGACTAAAAGGAGGTGATGTCTAGAATGGTCATTACTAACTTTAAAAACCAATCATCTAAATCGTTACCGCGGATAAACACAATAAAGTCCAGTTAAGCTACGCTCCTCAAAAAGCTGTCTTCCTTTCATCCATACCTAAAACTCGAAAATTGAAAAAGAGACTTTTATTTTATAGATATATGAATTCATTTGGAGCGTGTGGGGTGTACAACGGAAAGGAAAATACAAAAGAAAATACTGTTCCCAAAAAGTGAACGAAAATACACGAAAAGTACAAAAAGAAATCGCTAATTGCCCTAGTATCTCACCGATTCATGACGGGAAATAAGAAGTCGCTGACAAACGATCCCTTGTTGCACTCATCCTGAAACTGAGCTGCGTAGTGTTTAAATGCAGGTCCGCGAGCGTGCAAAGAAAACACCCGCAGTGCTTGAGGCAATTAAAATACGGAGACGAGACGAAGACGAAGCCACTCGGCAGGGATCAAAATTTGTTACAATGGCACAAGTAAAGATAAAATTACAGTAAAATAACAATAACAAAAGATTAAACATAATTGGATACCGAATTTAAGTGAAAATTCTGGGTGTAATGGGAGGGCAGATTTTCCTTCCGATAGCGCCTAAATGAAAAAAAAAAACAAAAGCAAAACAAAACAGACAAACAAACAAAAAAAACAAAATTGAATTATTCACCTGGTCATTAAACCCTCTGTATCTCTTCTCAACTAACAAATGACCATGAATACGATTCCCTTCGCTGAGCTTCATGTACCTCACATCCGTGGGAAGACATTTTAGAATGACCTTTAAGGGCCATCCTCGTAAAGAGAGTTTTTGCCTGAAAAACGTATCTGACGTTGCTTTATAGAGCCTTAAGATAGGAGGAAAAGACTGGAAAAGATAATGGAACAAAACAGAAACTCCAAGCTATTTCATACAGTTAACTTACTAAACTGAACTGCCGTTAAGGTTGGTCACCCTGGATTGGAATGACACTCCCATTTCCAAAAACAAACCAAAATAAAGCAACTTGCAATAAAACAAAAATTTACAGCAGCAGCACTTTTACGGAAAGGGTAAGTAATATCCTACCCCTCACCTCATAAAAACCTGGACAAAACACAGCAGTACTTACGCCTCAGAGAAATTCATGTCGAGATCTAGATTAGATGCCATGGCGGTGAAAGGAGCTGTTGAATCATTCTTTGGAGTCAAGAAGAACTCATACAGCTCATGCGATACACGCGCCCACAAACGGCAAGAAGGAACCTGCATTGCCAAAGGACGCGAGTTATGAACGTCAAATATCAGTGCGTGTAAAGCACCAACAGAAAACCTTGGCGATATGTTTTACAAAGATTCGTCTGACGAGCGTTTTCAGGATGCCGTGTGCTAACAACAGAAGAATGATTTCAGTTGGAATGATCGTGGGCCTGTGAGAAAAAAGTAATTGAATACTACTCTGGGAGAGTTCCCTTTTATTTTGTGTAAGTTATACTTAACTTTTCACGTGGAGAAGGTGCCGGATCTTTCGGCTAAAAAACTTAATCATAACTAAAAGTATGGTTTTGATTCAAACGGGGATTTTTCAACTTGCCAGGGCAACTGAGCTACCCATTGCATTGATTGGCGTCGAACTTTAGGCTCAAGGACTTGGTGTCGTATAAAGGAGTTTGAATTTATTTTCTTCAACGAAGCTGCGAAAAAAAAGGGGGAGTTCCTGACTTCATACAAAGTAGACGTAAGGAAATTTAATTTATTACGAAAGTCCAAATCGACCTGAAAATAGTGAATAATAAGAGCCACATCGTCATCATCTACACTATTGAAAAACGACCATGTAAATCGCTGATTACCCAGCTTACTAACACACAGCGACAAGGAGGAAAACCTATTTAAAGTTCAAGGCTTCCTGATATTCGTAATTTGATAGGTTGTGGAATTGCTGAAATTTGTAAAGGCCGATCTCGGCTCCATTCAAGTGATCAAGGGCAATGTTCTTTATATGATTTTTTAATATTGGCTTTATCACTATCTATCCATCAAAGTAAAAATTGCCATCATAGAAATATAACAATCTTTGGGTACATCAAAAGTAGACTATATGTTACCAGAGATTCTCTCAGAATTTTCTTAAGAAATACAATGCTAATTGACCCTTTAAACTGATGAATCGCAAATGAAGTCTTCATTCCAAAAATGTTTAAAATTGGTAATTACCCTTTTCGACGCTACGAGTTAAGTTTAATTAAGCTTTGCTACTCCTGTACTGTTGGATTAACTCTTCCAATACTGCCATCGCTTGAGACGGTGTTATTAACTGTGCGCACAGTCGACAATTGAAGATTCACTGAGACCGACCTGAGCCGCCTTAGAAATGCACGGCACGTTAGGATACTCTTAAAAGCCTTCCGAAAATTTTTTAACCTCCACGCATATACGAATGGATTCACACCAGAGTTTGCCATCACAAGAACAAACTGGATGTCTCTTACCCAGTGAATAAACTCACAGCCGCAAGTATAGCAAAAGTTAACGATGTAGATACATACACACGAAGGCACGTAGCACGCTAAAAATAACAAAAGGACAATCAACAGCGTCTTTGTAATCTTCTTTTCTCTTTTCGTGGCTTGTTTCATGACGACGTTCTCCTCTGTACTGTCGTGTAAATTGTCCCAGTGACGGACTTGATGTCGCAAATACTTGAAAATCTTCACGAACGTGAAAATTAGCACCGCGAAAGTAACCGCAACAGCAGTGCTTGCAAAGACAAACCGGAACCTGTTGTAGCCCACGGTGAAATAGAATAAGGACAGGAGGATCGAAGTGATCCAAACCAAACACGAGATAAACAAAGCTCTTGTTGGGTTCAGTTTGCTTCGGTAATGCAAAGGATATGTGATAGCAACGTATCGGTCTAACGCCAAGGCTGTTAGGCTGAGCAGAGAGGCAGAACAGGAAATGAAGTAGCATACATGCATCCACCGCCGGAATCCTTGCAAATTCTCGACACGTTTTAGCCCTTCGGAGATTAGGTATATGGTACCCATTGGTGCGGTTACAAGCCCAACAGTTAGATCTGCCAGTCCCAGATTGGCAACGAAGAAGCCGAATGGCGAACGAAGGTCTCTGTTGGAATCAAGGAGAACGGCAACGACCACTAAAAAGTTGCCCACAATGGCGACAATTGATGATAATATTGTCGTCGAAGCCGACGTGAACGACAAATAAGTTGGAGCTGAGATATTATTGCATGGGTACAAACCCAAAAGGGACATTCTGTGGAGATGAACGGCTGTGTTATGATTCAACAACAAACAGAAAGAGTACTAAAGTTGCTTATTTCAGCATGGGGTTGATTTCAATACAAAACAACACGAATATTCATCTTTGTAGACGCTATGAGATATGACATGTCTGACCAAAAGATAATTGGGATGGAAACGAACTTCCCGTCACGCAACATTAATTATTAGCCGTGTCGCGAAGATTTTGTGAATAGAATTCATGAGAACTATTGAAAACCACCATCGGCACTATCGATTTTCATAACGGAAGATATCAAACATAGTAAATTTGATATGCAAGGAATTTCAAATAGCCATTCAAGCACCAATGTCGCAAGAACTATCCTTAGTTTCGAAACAGCATCATGCTTCAACCAACCGATTTCCACCTTTTCCGTTTCAAATTTGGCACGTTATCGCCGTAAAATTATTTGCACTATTAACAAGGATATTGAGAGAGTACTCGGCATGTTGCTTATTAATGAAACTCAAACGAACCATTTCAAATCCAGGGACATCTAATTTTCCAGCTGCTTATACAAATTCTGACTGAAAAATTAGTTGATTGTTGATCACATTAAGCCGCTTGGAACTAATTTTAGAACTGTACTTCTATATAAAAAGCTTTACTGATCTCCAGTACCAAACCATTAAATAGGATTGTAATGTACATCTATTAAATCAGGCTATTTAGTTCACGTCGTGAATGTGAGAATTTAAATAACTTCTTTCAAGACGATGACATCGCCCCTCAGTAGGAACATTTTCATCATTGAATTAAGAACACGCAAGGCATAGATAGGGATTCAGTTTCTCTGTAGATCTGGGACATTAACAATCCACAAGAGAGAAAAACTCTCAGGGGCGTAGCCAGGAAGAGGGGGCTTACTGTTTTAAACAGAGAGTACCTACCGGATTTTCACGTCGACCTCCATGCCATGTTTTCCTTAATGTGACAAAGAAAGGCTTACAATGGGGGGTCAAGGGAAACCCTGGTTCCCCCCCCTTCCCTTGCTACGCCCTTGACTCTTCAACTATCAGAGATAACGATACATTTTTTTTCGGACAGAATTTTCGGATAAATGTCAATGTCTGCGTAACAGGGCACCTACCCCTCCTCTTACTCAACATTAACCCTTAATTCTTATCAGTTGACTGTTATTGGTTTAAGGGAGGGGTAAGAGCACAGGCTCAGAGACTGATATTGATCTGAATTTTCATTGAACTTTGGTGTTTTTAAATTGAACATTTTTCCTCTGTCGCTAACAAAGCCATAACTGTCATAGCATGCTACGTTTTAATTTTCAAACAGAGTGATTTTCCGGAACGGTGTGAAGTATCTGAAGAATAGACTCTCCTCATTTAAAAGTTACATGGAATTCCTCTATGAATTACAAGTAAAAAAGTCTCAACCAAGACACCGGGCAGACATGAATCCCTCTTCAAACACTAAAACGTCTCTAATTTGCCGTTTTGCTAACATCTATCGATTCAACTTAGACGTCATCTCAAACTGGGCTTCATCGTGTGTTTGAAACAAAATCTTCTTTTCGTCGACCCAAGAGAAACGTGTTACAAGTGTCTATTAACAACACGAGACCAAGCTTTACATTAGCGTTGGGTTATTTTTGCTCCTCACTCAACCTAACGGAACAATCTGAGCAACTTATGGGGCGACAATGGGTAACTTGCAAGTCAGTCAAACTCTTACTTTGTCTACTTTCTGCCTCCGGGAGCGAAACTCTCTCCGACTGGAGCCGCTAAGATGTTCAGTTAAGACTTAGCGCCGTCCCTCAACAAGGTTTTCTCTCGCAGTTTCCTGAACAAGCCCCATTACAGAAAACAGCCCCTTCAATACCCGACACGACAACAGCGGTTGCGAATCACCGGGTGGTAGAATTGGACCGACGTCTGAGACATACACGTACGGTAATCTCAGTACACAGAAACTTCCTGGGGGAATAGTGACTCCCGCATTAACACCAGGGTAAAACACAGGACATGGTGGAAGGGAAGGTTGAACCCGCGGGTTAAGGGTCACGAGTATAGGTGAATCGGGTGTGACGATAAAGACGCGCATCATTTGAGCCATGAGAGGTTTTGACGACCGACAGGGGCATGGGAAGTAAAGAGGCATGTCTGACGTCACCAGTTTCTGAGCTGTTTCCTTGACGTGACCGGAACTGGTCGCTTTCACCATCTTGTCCGGGCCTGAGCAGATAAACCTTGAGAATTACAATGAGAATGTCAAACATTTATTGTTAAGAACGAAGAAGTGATTTATAATTCCAATACGTTATAGGAGACGTGAATTTCACTGAAAATGTCCCAACACGTTATGTAGGTACGGTAAAATTGAAAAGAATATTATTGGAATCAAAATTACTTTCCGTTATGCTTTATCCCTGATTATCAACGATTTAGTTTTATGAAATGAAATTTTAATTGATTGAAAGCGTTTAGTTTTACAACAATTTACCTTAGGAATTAATGAAAACAAAACATGAGTCACAGACACACATCAAGAAAATGTGCAAGGGTCAGCATACAATAATTCTGCCACAATGAACTAGTGAAAAAATCTTCAGCAAATAAATGTCTTCTGGGATACACTTTTGACAGTCGCAATTTAACAAGTGCAAACGCCATTTCGAAACATTTTTACGTTACTCACCTATGTCCCCTTGGGCACTCATATTCCTGTCCTATATAGGCCCTCACTGTCGGTAGCGCCCCTTCACGGGCGGCTCTACCCCGCTGCCGAGAGGCCCCAGACGCACCTTTCCCTGTTACTGCACTCGATATCAAAGGAAGCGTATTTGCTTTATAATCTGAACATTGTCGACGTGCATAAGTCAGAGCCTGGTGCAGAGGAAGTGACGAAACATTACTTCCGGCAGAAGGGAGTTCATTCAGCGTAGGCCAAGCTTCTTCGGTCATTTGCTTAGACCCCAAGTGCTTGCCCTTTCCATCAAACTGGCTCGTTAAATCTGATTGGCTTTCATTCAGCAAAGGAATGTCCCAAGCCAACAGATAATTGCTGTTCGGGAAAAATCCCGGTTGGTCCAGACCTTTCGCGGGATTGTAGGCGCTTGCGCTTCCCAGACGACAAAGCGACCAGGAAGGAAAGCGGGGTAGAATACCAGGAGGCGAATCACTGTTCAACATGGTTTCCAGATAGATCTGTTCCATTTCATCACGCGATGAGAATCTTTCAAAAGAGTGCACGCCGGGAACGTGCTCCCCTACGGCGGAGAGGACATCTTGGGAATCTCCCATGCTTATTTCTCCCGGAATTCCCACGGATACAACACTCTTGAACTCGGATGGCATACTCCTAAACTCAGACCCCTCGTGACTCATCATCTCCAGCGTAGATTGGTACCCACTCGCCCCGTAGGTAGAACTGACACTGTGCCCAAGGCTTCCCAAATTGTCTGTCCTTGCAGCAACGCCCGAGTTTGGAATGGGAATGGATCCAGTTGTCGGGGCAACTTGTACCGCGGGCGTCTCACTGTTGGACGTCTCGTCACTCACGTGCCCCTCACCACCAACTTCCCCGGATTTGACTTCTTCTCCCTTAGAACTGACTATCTCTGATGGCATTTCCAGGAGGGGGGCTTCATCTGATATTTCCGTAGAGGTTTTGTGGGAGTTTTTTGAAGAGAGAGCGATTGGATGAAATGGAAAGAACAGATGAACCAGCGAAAAACAGCACTTTGACTCGAGAATTTTGAAGAAGTCCATGTTAGCTGTCTAGGGAGAATAGATCAAAACAAACTCATTTTCTTCAAACGAGCAACGTTTGTAGATTGGTAAGAGTAAAACTGCCTGGTAAAAGCGCACTTTAAGCGCTAAAGCTCCGTAGAAAGGCTTCATTGAACGGAAGCAGTTTGAGGGTATTGAACAGTAGCAGTTCCTCGTAAAATTTGATTACACCAAGACTTGTTTTCGAGCACGAGTTCGCTGATGAGCCGGAGACCCAGTCAATATCTTAATCCTGGGTTACACGTAGCTGCTATCGAAAATGTTTATGTTGTTATGGTAGTTAAGCAGGGATTATATCTGATCCTGCTTTGAACCACTAAGCTCTGGTGTTCACCGGATAACATTACGTAAATCGTCATTCTCATCCGAATGAGGATCTACGGTTAAAACTACACATACATGTAATGAAAAGATATTCAATTTTGTTAAGGGAAAGGTCAATTTGAAGGGGGAAATTCCTATTCGATCTAATCTATTTTTCAATAGAAATTTATAATATATAACAATCGAATTCAAGGAATACAGGCATTTCACATCCATTTTCATTGTTGTTTTCATCTAAAAAAAAAAAGAAATGTTTTTGTAAAATTATGCAATAAAAATTTCTACCTTCAGATCAAAAGGATCTTCTCTGTGATCCTGTATCCTTCCACAGTTGCAGGCACTGACGCTGGTGATACGACTTGAATGAGGCTTACATGGATTAACCCCAAGCTCCTTGGATTCCTCGGAGACTGGATCGGAGGGTATCTCGCCTTCTGCAGGGACCCGGTGGTACTACAGAGAAAATGCATAAATTATGATCAGTGCATTGTCACTTTGTAGTTAGATAAGCATTGTACTATTGAGAGATGGTTCGCATCCAGATGAGCGGTATACATGTAGTCTTATAGCGAGAATAACTCCCACGAATTGCGCATAAATCTTGATTTTCCAAGCCATCGCGCGTCATCATGTGTTTCACGCGGTGCAATGCTTTATATGACCAAATGACCACAAGGAGGTGATATCTAGAATGGTTTTTACGACCTTTGAAAACCAATTATCAAAATCCTTACCGGATAAACACAGTGACGTCCAGTTAAGCTACGCTCCTCGCAAAGCTGTCTTCCGTTCATCCATACCTACATTTAACGAAAAATTGAACAAGAGCCTTATTTCATAGATATATGTATTCATTTGGAGAGTGTCGTGTACACCGGAAAGGAAAATATAAAAGAAAATACGGTACCAAAAAAGTGAACGAAAATACACGAAAAGTGCAAAAGGAAATCGGTAATTGCCTCAGTATCTGACTGATTAAAAAATTACATGACGGGAAATAAAAGGTCGTTGACAAACGGTACCTTGTTACACTCATCCTGAAACTGAGCTGCGTAGTGTTCAAATGCAGGTCCGCGAGCGTGCAAAGAAAACACCCGAAGTGCTTGAGACAGCTAAAATACAGAGGGACGAAACCAAACTGTGTTCAAAATTCGTTACCATGGCACAAGTAAAGATAAAATTACAACAAATTAACAAAAAAACAAAACCGACCGTAACAAATGATCAAACATAATTGGATACCTGGTTTAAGTGAACATTCTGGGTGTAATGTGAGGGAAGATTTTCTAAGTAAGCACTTGTTGCTACAGGTATCGCCTTCCGACAGCGCCTACATGAAAAACAAAACAAAACAACAAAAACAAACAAACAAAATTAAATTATTCACCTGCTCATTAAACCCTCTGTATCTCCTCTCAACTAACAAATGACCATTAATACGATTCCCTTCGCAGAGCTTCATGTACCTCACATCCGTGGGAAGACATTTTAGAATGACCTTTAAGGGCCATCCTCGTAAAGAGAGTTTTTGCCTGAAAAACGTATCTGACGTTGCTTTATAGAGCCTTACTCTATAAAAACCTGGACAAAACAGAGCATTACTTACGCCTCAGAGAATTTCATGTCGAGATCTAGATTAGATGCCATGGCGGTGAGAGGAGCTATCAAGTCATTCTTTGGAGTCAAGAAGAACTCATACAGAGCAAGCGATACACGCGCCCACAAACGGCAAGAAGGAACCTGCATTGCCAAAGAACACGAGTTATGAACGTCAGATATCAGCGGATGTAAAGCAACAACAGAAAACCTTTGGGATATGTTTACAAAGATTAGAAGAAAGCTCCTGGGACGGATGTTTGTTGAACAAGGCGTCTGTGAAAAAGGCTATTATCGATTTCTCGATTTGATCCCTTTAGTAAAGGTAATATAATGGCAGAAAGGGAGAAAATTAATTTAATTGATGAAGAAGAATTAAGAAAAAAGAGTTTATTGGGCTGGAAAAAACATTGCAGAAGCTTAAGGAAATACACTACGAAGATGGAATTTACATACAGTTGTATCTAGCTGACACCCTTTCGCTTTCTCTTCCTTAATTATCTTTCGCCTTAAGCTAATCGTGTACACCGAAGACCACATGGCCATATGTTCTCTAGTGCGCCTAAAGTACCACTATTTATCTTTAGAAATGATCAAATTTCATGTTTTTCCACAACCATTACACAGTACTCTGCTGACATTTCCAAATCGAGAAGTTGGTTTATGCACGTGACCTTTCAGTCAAAGTATTTCGGTCGAGCCTTCACGTTCGTAAAGCTCATTCTCAGTCATTTCCATGACTTTCAAGACCTCCACTACTACATGCACTGTAAAATTACATTACTTCCAGAGCTGAAAAATGTCGTTGTAATAGAGTAAGACCTAAACATGCGTTCTTCCGCATCTTACTCTAAAGTTATATCACTTCCAGACCTGGAAAATGATAGTGAAATTTTTAAATACTGTACCTCTACATGCGTTCCTCTGCGTCCCTCAGCCACTCCATCTCGACCACCATCTCCGGTCATTAAGAGATCAATCTGCTGTTTCAGGTAGTCTCGGAACAACACGTCATCCGTGGAATGTGCTTCGCTGTTCCCTCCGGACTCTGAGAATTCTCTCTTAAGGAATTTGCTATTCTTCAGAAGAGGACTCTTCTCCACTGCGGGAACAGTTACGAACAATTATAAAAAAAACTATTTAATACGTAGGGAATTAAAACCATCAAGAAATTGAAGGAGAGACGCTTAACTTTAATTTCGGCTACCAGATAAACAGAGGGTTCATGCTCATCTGCCGTGTTAGATTACAGTATCGCAATAACGCTTGAAAATGCCTGTAACAAGTGTTCACGCATCCGAACAGAAGAGTGCTTGTTTTGTTTTTGCCAGTTTTATTTTTGTTTTGGTTTAGTTTTTTTTTGTTATCACTGAGGGTAAAAGTTCCGAACGAGATGGAATTGAGGAAAGACTCCCTGGGAGTTTCAATAACTTTCTCCATAAGCAGCCGCTGATGCTGCAATAGGCGGCTGTCATAAGGGGAAACACAAACACGGGTGCGTACTCGTAGGCTAAACAGACGGCAGTGAAAGGTTTTACAGGCGGCGGTAGTTTTGAAACCCCTGGACTCCGTATTCATGTTATTCCTTCGCAAAGGTGCATGCATACGTGATCGTTCGATGTCAAGGAGAGAAACCTACAAGAAGTAATGTGCCTGAGCGGCTACGCAGAGTTAACAAACTATCGGGGCCTTTCCTATTTTTTACACGTTCTTATAGACAAAAAAAAAAAAAAGAAGCGTGCTTCACTAGAGTAAGTAATGTTTACTTTACCCCATTTAGTGTTGATAGCCGGTTTAGCCAAAGTATTAAGGAGAACTGCAACAGGGTCGAAGTTGGTTGAACATGGCTGCATGTGAACAAAGGCGTGACTTGAGTTTACAGTGAACAGGGAACTGGAACTGTAGATTTAGAGCAACATTCTTACATTATTGCAAAAAAAGAACGGGCCAAAAAACAAAACGAAACAGAGGAGGCACATCAATGTCACTATTTGGGCATCTTAAAAAAACTCTAATTTGCAATCAGTAAAATTTATAGGACATCCAATGGTTAAGGAACCAAAAATTGTCCCTTTTTCACATTGGGAATAGGTTTATTTCTATAATTATTTCAGAAAGCTGTTACTCAATTCCAAGAAAGGATAAACAATGATACGTCACTACCCTCATTTGTAAGAAAATAGCAATTTACCCTCTGGTGAGCTCCAACCATTTAAAAAAGGGCACCATTATTCATGCCTGTGCACTTAAGTTATAAGTGAAATTATGTGCAGCTAAGGATCTGCAAAGAAGTACTATGGAATTTACATTCAGCTACTGCAGAAGGGGTTAATAATACTACAGCTAAAAGCAGGCATTTAGAGTTAATCATGCCTGCAAACAGATATTAATACCTGCAAAAATATGCATTCTGTTTTTTTAAGTGTAATTGCACATTAGTTATACACCCCACCTAAGACTTCCAAGGAGCCTGGCCTTTCTCATTATGCTGTACAGCTGATCCTCTACAGCATGCTGAAGTTTCTTTTGTGGAGTGATGCTCTAAAATAAATGCAAAAACCTTCAATTTAAACTGACATAAATTCTGAAAATAAAGGAATCAGACTATTAAATGCCTAGTATTATGACTGGAAGCTTGACCAAGGACTTAAACACCCTTACATTTGCTGTTGTTGTTGTTGTTTTTTTTTCAACTTACTTGTTGTTTTCCCTTAGTCTTGCTGGCATAAGTATCTTGGCTTTTCCCTGACTGCATTTGAAACATACAATATTTCAGCATACTCATACTCAGTTGACACTGTACTCTTATGATTAATAAGTTAAAGCACAGTAAATATTGACAATTATGGAGGAACATGTGATGGCACCTTTTCATATCAATTGCTCTGAGTATGAACCCAAATTGCATTTTGTAAGTTGCGTTTTTATAATTAACTGAATTATACACACATTTTGATTGGTTCTCACTCATGATCTACATGTATTGTAGGAGAGACGTATGGATGATATCACCATTAAGAAGGTTTTGCTTTGATTAAATTTCACATCGACAAAAACTTACCACTTGTGAAGGATCCATGAAAGGGACCCGCTGAAATAGTGAAAAAGTCTTCAGTTAATATTCAGACATTCACCTGGTATTTATAACTTCTAATGAAAAATAACAAAATTAATATGCTTTTGTGAAATTCACCCTTTACTAGTCAATTGGAAGTTCACACAACCAAATCTGTGAAATACTCATGAGGTGATCTTTTACTTAAAAAAAAATTGGCAAAGCGTTAACACTATTGTATGAAAAATGTTCAAGTCATTTACAACCTAAATACTTATTACTGGGTTCTATCCTGTAAATCAAATCACTCATACAGATGAGGAAAGAAATAAAAGATAAACTGACCTGTTTCATTGAACACACCAGTCTGGGAATACAAGGCCGTCCAGTCTGCCTCCAAATATCAGGAATACCATCCACACCAGATAATAGCTGGGATATCTGAGGCAGTAACTGGTGTCTATAATAAGTTATAAATTAAAGCACAAAATGATTTGAGAGGTTACATGAAAAATATATTACAGTGTTTTTTCTTCATTTTTGCAAAATTCTTTTAGGTGAATGAGTGTTTGTGTGTGACTTTTGATTTAGAAACAAAACTATTTGAAAAGTTTCTTTTCCCATTGGTCTCAAGTGAATCTATTTTCAAGAAATGACTGATAGAGATATTTATAACCTCCTTCCTCCTGCACAATCATGTAACTGCATTTTACATGTATGTACAGTATCTCTCCATTTATTAGAAAGTAATAAAAATTTTTATCTTTATCTGCAATGGAATTGAGCATCTATATGGAGGATTACATAGCCCAGATCCACAAAACAGTTTTGAAACCATACTTGTCTTCTAAAACAAATTAAAGCCTTTTGCAAAAAGATAGTAACTAAAAAACTTGGAGCTCTTTCAAACAATGGCAAAAAAATTTAGGGTTCATTTTATGTTCAAAAGTTCTGAACTGTCAATTTTACCTAATAAGAATTTAGTTAGTCTGTAATTACCTTGTTGAAGCTAATGTGCGAAAGAGCCTGATGTAATTCAGATCAAAAGTCTGTGAGGGATGCAGAAGCTGTAAAATTTGAACAGAGAATTTTTAACTTGAAATTATATCAAACATTTCAAAAAATAACTGACAATTATTCAACCAATCAAAGAGGATAACTTGACCAGGTAGTTATTGGTTTGAAAAATTGATGGCCAAATAATTCATTTAAGTAGAACAAGCACTTACAGTTGCACACAATTATTAAAAAAATGTTGATGAAAACTTTGAAAATATGGTTCAGTCATAGATTTGTTCTTTTAAAAACTTTTTTTGCTAGCATTCGTGAAAAGAATAAGTTAATGAACTGAAGTAACCTGGACAACAAAAAGAAACTGTTTACTAGGTAATTACTTACAACAACAATATGAGAGACAGAGAACAGGAACAGTAATGCACAGGCATAGTAAAATTCATGGGACATCCAATACTGATGAGAAGCCTATGAAACAAAATTAACTGAGCAGTCATAACCAACTAACAAAACATTTCTCCAAGGATAAGTGAATATATACACTTTATTCGATGCTTTAACACATACAGTAATATGAGCCGATATTTTGCAAGCCACAGACTACTTTGGCATGCACTGAGCAAAATGTTTGCTCATACTACATATTAATTGTGTTAAAACCTCACCTGAACTTTGTACTGATCCCAGTAATGCATTTGTAACAGACAAAATAATCATAATGGCTGACAAAAAAACCTGAAGTGCTGAAAAGTTCTTTGCCTCAATGGCATATTGGGCATGTTCTGTTACCCTAATATGGTAAAATGGCATAGTAGTGGAATACATGAAGCAATTATCCCTGAGATGCAGTAGGTGATATTATTCAATTATCAACAACACACATATATCTGCTTCCCCTGAGCAGAAGGATCAAATATACACTTAACCCTCTGAATATTAGAGCAAGGAATTAAATATCATCAATCCAAATAACCTTCCTAGTACATACAGGACATGAACATGTTTCTTTGGTGAAAAGTTATAAGAAAGCAGTCGATATGAACAGGAGAGTTTCTTGATTCAAAGCTAACACCATAGGCCAGATGTTTACAGGGCTATGCAATGTTATTATTTATGTCCTTGTTTTTGTCATTTCTGCTGCAAAATGTTGTTGTTGTTGAGGTCTTCATACTTATCATTGTTGTTATTGTCTGCGTCATACTTGTTCTCATTAGAATTATCCATATCATCATCATCATCATCATCATTATTATTATTATTATCATCATCATCATTATCAACCTGGGGCTGCACACATTCGCCCCGTCCTTAAGGAGCTACACTGGTTACCTGTGGAGCAGCGAATTACCTTTAAAGTATTACTGTTAACTTTTAAAGCTCTCAATAATCTGGCGCCTCCGTATTTAAGTCAACTTATAGTCCCATATAACCCTACAAGAAATCTTAGGTCTGCTGGCAAACATTTATTAGAAGTACCGAATGTGCGCCTGAAGAGCTATGGGGACAGGGCCTTTTCGGTCGCTGCCCCAAAGCAATGGAATGATATTCCCTTAGACATTAAATTAAGTGGATCAGTTGATGTTTTTAAATCTAGATTGAAAACTTCTCTTTTCCGACTCGACTGTTTTAGTGTTATTGTTAGTTAGTTATTTTCTCTTTTGATTGTAAAGCGATATAGAGCTTTTGTATATACCGCTATACAAATAAAGTTATTATTATTATTAAAATTATCATCATTATTAACATTGATGTCATTCTTATAAAGGTAGTGGTGATGTTTACCTGTACTAGCACCTGTATATGTTTCTCTAATTGAAAAATGTTGAAAATATTCTAAAACTAATACTAAATTTGAAACTGAAACTTACTGCATTCTGTGCATCTTGTGGAGCTTGTTTACAAAGTTGTAACAGTCTTGACACATCATAAACAGACACAAGGTGTAAATAGATTATTCTCTGTTCTACATCATGATAGACATTAATGTCACACTGAAAATAAGCAAAAAAGCAATTCACTAGTGCACTGGAAAAGAAAAACAGTTAGTGAAAATCAATCAGTTGAAACTAGAAGCATGAATACAATAATGCCATACCAATGTTACTTAAACAATGACTTAACAAAATCACCTGATGGTATTTATTAAAATGCTACAAATCCTACAGGTACTTTATGTCAACACGAGCTTTGGAATCTCACAAGATACTCACTGAAAATTCATCTGTATCCTTCTTCTTGAATGTACCATCTAAAAAGTCAATCTATGAGAAGCAAATGCATAGGGTTTAAGTAAAATACATATTTATAGGAGTTTTGTTGTTTTTGTTGATTTCATCCGATAATCTTTGATGTCCATTTGATGTCATTCGTGTAAAATACATAAAGAGCAGTTCCTTCAAAGAAATTAGATGAGAAGAAGGTTATATCTGAATTACTTCATTTCGAAACAAACCTTGAAAACTTCTTTCCCAATAGTTCCATTCAGATGTACAGCTTTCGACTTGTAGCCAATGTTGTCTTTTCCGAAGATCCCCACCACACAAACTTTGTCATCCACGCAACTAAACAGAAAATTGTCATCTCTAAGAACCATCGTATTTTATTTGCACCAAAAAAATATTTTAAAGCGTCTTACCTCTCCGAAGAACTGATTAAATGCTGAAAAAATTCCTCACTGGCTTTCTTGGCTCCACTGTCCGCCATTTTGTTTCTTGAGACCTTGGTAGCCTCCCTTAGCTTAGTAACCTTTCTTTTTTCTTACGTCAGATCTGAAAGGTATTGCTACACGTGAGGAAGGCAAGATGGCAGACAAGTTCACCGAGTTTGCTGGACGCATGGGAAAAGCTCCGAAAGGAGTTGGAACTGGCTTAAAATTTCTAGTCGCAGCCGCAGCAGCTGCATATGGAATCAAGGAGTCTGTTTACACAGGTATAGTTTTAATGCAGTCTTAATGACTCGCGAGAGGCAAGATCACTTTTTAGCAGACGATATGGTATTCCTTTCCACGAATACACGATCAAGCTTTCTAATTCACGATTGTATTCGTTACTGTCCTGTCGTGAATTGAGTATAATTGGCTCAAGTTTTTCTTCGTGTAGCTTTTCTGTACATATTTTTTATTGCTTTTTTAAATCGAACAAATTGCTTTTATTCCTTTTTTTCTATACTATGCCTGTCTTATGTAATTTTTAATTTGTACATAGACAATAAATTGTGCATACTTTTCTACATCAATTTTTTTTTTATCTCATCTCCATTTTACAACTTGTAAGTGTATCATTTCGTCTTAAATTGACTCTGGTTAGAATCGGTGGACTTTTTTCATTCCGGTCAATGAAGAGTACACCAAATTTCAAATTTCAACCACCCCTTCTCCCCTCCCCACCCCTCCCTTCAATTCTTACCAGACGTTGATCCCATTTGTTTCCCCTGTGTCAAAATGTTGGAAAAAAGCGGGAAGGAAGTCAAGAGATGTCAAATAAGTGAGATCAATTTGGATTCTCCTTACTGTGTGACAAACATTTCCTTCTAGTTATAGGTCTACAAAATTCAGTGTTAAATCTGTGAAGGAGTATTCCTAGTTAGAGAGATGATAGATGTTACCTTACTTTATTAATTAATGTGGTAATTGGTTCAACACATGCAAATTATCTTTTGAACTATCTTTTGGCAGTTGAGGGTGGTCACAGGGCCATTATATTCAGCAGAATTGGAGGAATCCAAAATAACATTTATACTGAAGGCCTTCACTTCAGGTAGAGTTTTTTTTTTTGTTATCTATTCAACAAAACTCAAAGCCCAGCCTTTTTTAAAGTTGTCAAAGTAATCAATTGGTCACCAGAAATAAAGGTTGAATGGCCATTGTTTAAAAATTATTAACATCATTCAGCACTGATCACATTGCTTGTTTTGAAATAAGAAATATGTTTAGCAATCATGTTTGAATGTGAAAATAAAGGCTAGAAGATAGCTCCATCCTGACCTTTCAGGTGCAGTTAATCATTGTCGAAGGATAATAAACTTTGATAGGCCAGGTCATGGTGACATCAGATGATTTTACAAATACAGTGTATATCTTGGATGACTCAATGGGAAAGCTGTTTGACAGCAGATTCTGACCCCCCCTCCCCTCTTCCTCCCTAAGGGAACAGTATTTAATAAAATGTGCCGAATAAGGCTTTCAAAAACCAACCAATCTCAGCTTAGGTTATGTAAATCTAGTCAAACCTTATCATAGTTGAAATGTCATAATTCACTTCATAGGAGCTTTCATCCTGCAACAATGTAGAGGGCACATTTACGTTTTTATTGCAATTCCTTTTTTTGTGGGGTTAACCCAGCAGTTCTATATGTGTAAAGCTTGTTAGGCCAATAACAACTGAAAAAGCTGCGGTCTGAGACAGTCAATAACATGTGCAACTCATCAGTGCTTTTGTTTATCTTCGTATTCTACAGGATACCATGGTTTCAGTACCCCATCATTTATGACATCAGGTCAAAACCAAGGAAGATTATTTCTCCAACTGGGAGCAAAGGTTCATAGAAGTTCATCAGTGTTTTTTTCAATGTTCCAATATTAACAAATTATGAATAATGCTTGATGAACATACAAATTTCAACATTAAGTAAACCAATATACATACTGAATATGTATCCTTAGGAAAGAAACACTATTATAGAGAAAGATGTTCTTCGTCTTGTCACAAGCGAGGGACAAAGAAAAAATTCTGAGTCCCCACGAGGAATCGAACCTCAGACACTCAGATTCCGCATTCCAACGCTCTACCACTGAGCCATGGAGATGCCACGGTGAGCAAGATCTATTATGAAGTTCATATGATGTGCATCCTGCATACTGCTAGGATCAGCGACGTCAATGGCATAATGTTTGTCACCTCATGGGGACTCAGAATTTTTTTCCTTTGTCCCTTGGCTCGTGACAAGACAAAGAACATCTTTCTCCATTTCTTTACCTAACTCAAAACTTACCATCTCTCTTATTTCTATCTTAAAACACAATCATGTTTATTTTGATGTTTAATTTTGTTGATTTGTTTGTTTGTTTATTTTGCCATTTTTTAAATTATTATACATCAGTAGAAACAAAAGAAACAACATATTCATCAATATGGCTGAAAATTTAACATGTAGCAAAGAAACATATGGAGAAACCAAGAGGCTTATGTGAGTTATAAGCTGACCTTGTATTGTACCAGGTTTAAGAGGAGAGATGTCACTCTTAATTGAAAAGAGGGCCATGGAAATGTTTCTGATTTTTGCTGCTTATTACTTGTTTTTTGTCATTGTTTAGATCTCCAGATGGTTAACATTGGCCTTCGAGTGCTTGCCCGTCCTCAAGCAACTATGCTTCCTGACATGTACAGAAAATTGGGGTTGGACTTTGATGAAAGAGTTTTACCTTCAATCATGAATGAGGTGCATAGTTCATGTAACTAATTGGTATTAAATATCAATTTCTTCCTGGAAAAATATATGTAGCATTTGACATTTCCAATTTTGCAATTTAAGTTCACATGTGGTGTTGGTGTAATTAAGATGATATAAAATAAAAGATGATCAAAGAGGTATTTTTATCTAAGCACCGGATTATATGGTACTGCTCAAAGGTAAATTGACAGCTCCTCAAAACTCAATCCTTGATACTCCTTTCTTGATTGTCAATCCTGGATTCTCAAGAATTTCAAGGAAAGGGGATTGAGTCGAGCTTTGAAAAGTGTAATTAGAGTTTCAAAACACTTGAAATGAGTTTCAAGGACCTCGAAATGAAGAAGCAAAGGAAATTTTGTGCAATTAACTTTTCATGCAACTTGAAGCTTCTTACCTTTTGTCGTATTTGCAGGATTAAAAACCTTACAGCATGCATTTTAATTTTGCTGAAGTGGCAAAAAATTGTTCGAACTAGTTCTGATGTTTTTAACAATAACTTTGCAAATTATTATCACTGTATACATGATCCTCTTCATTGTGTTAACTGAACATTATTCATCTCGCACAATTTTAGTTTTCCGAATGTTACTTTAATTACCAAGTTTGACTTCAGAGCCTGACACAAATCCAAAAAAAGTACTTGCTTCAAGAAAGCAACACCTGCAACATTTACATTAGCTATTGCCTGCACCAAGTGTTTATATTTAACATCATAGAATAGCCTCGTTGCTAAGTTCTGCAACATATTACAACTTTCTTTCTATTTTACAATTTCCCTTTCATCTTGAACAGTTTTCAGAGTTTTTGCTATGTGGCTAGAAATGAACACTAGTTGAGAAAATGTGGTTAACAAACTTGTTTATTGATGCATAATTGTCTGCAAAACAAGACTGTGGTGTCATGGCGACTAGCAATCATAATGTGCAAATGGTTAAAATTTTCCTGATAAAATCTTTACATTTCTGAGAAACTTTCTGTTATATTTTGGAAATAAGCTTATTAGGTTGGGGTTTTTTTGCTTCTGAATGGATAATTTTGTCACAGCCTCAAAACCAAAGCCTTGATTCTTGATCTTCAAATTCCAGGTAGTTTTGAGTATTAAGGATTGAGTTTCAAGTCAAGACTGTCGACTTACTTTTAAGCAGTAGGCATAGCACTCTTAAGGATTATCCAAAAGATTGAGCAAGAGATAAAATAATGTGGACATATTCATTTGGAAGGATTGAGTTGTAAAGACTGGAATCAGTAAATTTTAGGAAGCACAATCTATTATTTATATTATTAATTAAAAATTGATGTTATTTTTTACCTAATATTGGTGTTTGTTTCTTTTATTATGTAGGTTTTGAAGAGTGTTGTGGCTCAGTTTAATGCTTCACAGCTTATCACAATGCGTCAAGAGGTATGTTACATCATTGCATTTTTTATATCTCAGAAGTTAGGTTATGACAATTTTTATCTCAAGAACAGTGTTAACTTGTGTTATGTTCCAACTTGCAATTCCAATGCTACATGTATCTGAGAAACATTAATTAAAAATTAATTAATATCTTTGGAAATTAAAGTGACAAAAAAATAAAGTCCAGAAACCAGTTTAGATAAGCACAGAAATATTTAAATGATAGTCTGCTTGAATTCAAAGTCTCAAGCTTTCCATGAAGCATCTTTGCATGTGCATGTATTAGTTGTGGTATATTACTGTACACCACTTATTAGTGATAAAGGAAACATGAAGGGTTGTAAAATTAGTATGAGTGAAAAGAATATGTACATGTTCCTTCTTGTTGCTTCTTTTTCACATATAGGTCAGTCTGTTAATCAGAAGGCAGTTGACAGATCGCGCTAAGGATTTCTTCATTATTTTGGATGATGTGTCTATTGTAAGTCTATTATCTTCCATCTACTGTGTTTTCACAAACATCACAAGTTTGTGTGTGCTTGTATTTCTGCAAACCATTGACATTTTCTGCAGGACAGTGGTACCATGCCTTGTTTATTAAATTTAAAACTATGGTTTGCAAATGTCTTTCTTGTAAGGCTAATGCTCTCCTTCAAATTCTCCAGACTGACTTGAGTTTTGGCCGAGAGTACACAGCAGCTATTGAAGCGAAACAAGTCGGTGAGTACTGAGGAGAATTCAGAGGTTATTTTACACTGTCCAGATGGTTAAAAAATGGATATACACACTCTTCCTTGGATATGAAATCTTGAAATTTGTTTTGTGTGTTCTTTAACTAGCATTAAATGTACAGGGGAGTTTTGTCATTATTATTTTATTTAATTTTTTCTACAGCTCAGCAAGAAGCACAGCGAGCTCATTACCAGGTGGAAAAGGCAATACAGGAACGACAGCAAAAAATTGTACAGGCTGAAGGAGAGGCTAAGGCAGCCACTCTGATATCCTTTGATGTAGATTCTACATGAAGCCAAAATACATTTAGGAGTTCTGGTCCCATTTCATGTACAAATTTGAGAAAAATGAATGAATTACATAAATGTTAAAAAACAACTTCAAATCTCTCTTTTTGTGTTTAACATTTAAGGGAAATCTTGAGATTTTCACAAAATGAGAGAAAAAATTTGCAAGTCACATACATTTCAGGAGACAAATCTTGCCTCATGCTGACTCATATATTCATTCATGAATTACACTTCCCTTTTTGCAAAATTCACACATCACCTACTAATTTGGCTGCAACCATGCATCACACAAAAAACTCTTTGCCACCCTCTATGTAGTACATAAAAATATGGACTGCATAACTGTGAGAGTCAATATTTGTTTATCCTTGACAATGTTCACCTTGGTAATGCTTTGAAGTCAAATCCAGGTTATTTGAAGCTGAGACGGATACGAGCAGCTCAAAATGTCTCAAACACGGTAGGGTTTTGTCTTGTGTCAACTTAGCTTTACAAATGTATTTTCCTTGGGGCTAAATTTCATCAGAGGATTCCCAGTTTTTAAACCTTTCAAGAAAAAATGGGACAGGAAGGGGGGGGGGATGGGGGGAGGGTCTGATTCATTGTAATTCTCCAAAAATTAGGGATAAAATTTAAAGTGCAGTTTATGGTACCCTTTCTTCTGACCTAAATCAAAAGTAAAGCCCCTCCTCAAGTATGCCTTCCTTGTCTGTCCCCTTCTTCAAAGAAAAGCAGTTTCATTTGAACTATTTGGGAGAAGATAATAATTGTAGTTACATTTTTTTTTTTTTAAATTAACATGACCATACTTTTTTCATTTGTTTGGCAAATAACTATGAGTACCAACCATACTGCTATTGAAACTCTACAGTATGATCAGCTTTGTACAGTAATATTGAATTAGATTAATTGCCTAAGTGTAAATATTATATTACACTTGGGACAACCACAAGTGTGTTATAATATGGGAAAAACCAAATCATACTTCTTGAAAAGGGGCCCCTTGTCCTCTCCCATCCTTTCTTATTTTACTGATTTCTTTTTTTTTTCTCCTTAATTCTTTGCATCTTTATTGACCCATATCTTGACATGGCCTTCATCATTCCACAGGCAGTTTGATTATTTTATATTTTACAATTAATTTGTAGATTTCAAACTCCCAAAATATGGTCTTCTTGGATGCTGGGGCATTGATGTTAAATGTCAGAGACACAGATGACATAGAAGAGTGAGTAATGGGTGTGCTGTGGTCTATGTAACTGTACTAAAACTGTATGGCAGAAATCATCAGTCACCAGCCATAAAGAAAAACCTAAGTAACTCTAGTAACCATTACTTAATTTCTCTTGCATATATTCTTTCCAATGCTTGATATTAAAAAGCTGTAATCCTTGCTGGTGAACTGCTGTTTACAGTGAGCAATTGCAGAAAAGAAGCTTGCAAAAAAATTCAGGTTTTTATGGGGTTGGAACCTGTGCTTCCTAAATGATATTTGGGTGCTACTACCAACTGAGCTTGTTGTGAATAGGGCATGGTTTACAGTGTTATTTTTTCCTGTGGTGGATTCTGAAACAGTTTTTATTGTAATAAATTTCATTTGACTTGCAGATAAACAATCAAACTAGGTAATCTTTTTACGTTAGTTTCCAATGATTATAAATCCTCTAACTAAAGACCTTTCACAATGCTTGAGATGAATGTAATTTTTAAGTCAGAGTGTGTGATTATTTGTTCTAAAGTCAGTTGTTTAGTTATTTGATTACTTATGTCCATCAAATATTTTTGTGTACTTGTAAATGTTCTATGTAATCTTTAATAACCTGTGTTTACAATTTAATACTCAAGCTGTTTCTTTGTTCTCATGTTAGCGACCTGCAAGGGAAATCAAAGAAGAAATGATCACAGACTAGTAAATGATGTTGAGGATCCATGATTTGCAAGCCCACCTGCTGGCCTCTGGTGACACAGATGTTGCTCAAATTATACTGCCTCCTGAAGTGTGACAGGGTTTCTAGTCCACTTCTTTGAATCTTTTTTTTTTTTTTTTTTACATAAAAAAAGATTGAAAGGGCTTCAGTAGTGCTTCCTGATTTTCAGTAAAATTACATTTAAATGTGTGGTGGGACAGACGATAATTTTAATGTAACAGCAGTGTTGATATGTTATGTATGCAAAATGAACATGTATCTCAACCAATCCAAGGTATAATTGATTGAGAAATGTTCTTTTTCCACATTGGTGAGAATAAAATTCATTTTCAACATTATTTTTTCCTTTTATTGCACTGTTAACTGATTGTGCTGTAAATAGGCTTTTAACTTTCTTCTAATGAGGAAGTACCTGTCCTCAAATGTAACCATTTTTTTAACATCATCAAATCCTTCTTTAACTCCCTTGTCCCTAAGAGAACTTAAAGAGAACACTATGGAGAATGTGCACACTGATGTCAGTGTGTAAAGAGTTCAGGCATACATACTGTCAACCATACAATTCTTATAATGATAGTTCAGAGAATTTAGTGTTGGGTCAACCAATTATTCCCAAGTTAATATTTTTCTTAATTCTCATCACTTATCTGGTTGATATTTTATTGATACTGTAAGGAGAAATTCTGTCGTGGTCACTCATGGGAGTTTAAGGGTTGATGACATTTCTTTGATTGTTAGAAAAATATATCCTTTCATGTCAGAAACCCATAAAAGAAAAATTTGCTGCATTGAAATGTTGCTAAAATTTTCCTTGGAGAGGGAAGAATGGCTAGAAGATGTACAGATGTTCCCCTTGTTCTTTTTTTTTTTTTTTTTTTTTTAAATTTTCAACCCAGACAGTCTCAGACCTACTTGGCAAATGCACATAAAATAAAAATACCAATTCATAATTATTGTGATTAACTTTATTAGATACAAGAACTTTGTACATTCAATTTCTAAATCAATGCAACATAAAAAGGCAATCAACTCATCTACAGTGACAACTGAAGTAAAATCCTCATATCACATGGTCCAAAAAGTACAACAGAATGAAAAGTTTGCATGCATTTAATAACAAATACTGAAAAGTCCAAATTCAAAATCTTACAAAACAAACTAATTGCAACTCAATATCAAAGAAGTAATCTGCATGAGAATGCATATTCAGAAGATATTTGTTTAATTGTAGCTGCAATACTTAAACTGCAGTATATGTTTAAATACCCCAAAACACACAAAATGTTGATATGTAATTTTCTCTGATATTAGATGATGAATTTTGCAGAAAACACAAAACAAGGCTACATGAAAGTTTACTAGATTACAGAACAAAGGACGCATCAATGTGCTATTAAGGATTGAATGTGCATTGTAATATTTACAATAACAAGTAGCAAATTGATCTTCACAAGTGATTTGCACTAAAATTTATTTTATAAAAGTAATTCTGAAAAAACTCGAGCTTCTGTAAGGATTGACCCTGTGATAATTTTCAGTCACCAACTGGAGACAGGTCTCGATATACTAGAGCCAAATAGCAAGCTACGTCTCTGAAGTGTAACTTGACGACACTGTTCTTCATGTATATTACAGAATGTACTTCTCTAACTCTTCAAATATACATGGCAGTCAATGGTCTTCATTGCAGTCATTGTTTGGTCTCACTACACATCTTCTCTCTGGTTCCCTATCATGAAGCAGCCCGTGGTGGGGTAGAGAGTGCTTTGCAAGACATTAGACCAAACAGTTACATAAGAGACTTGTAAGTCAAAGTCATTGAAACAGTTTTACACCTCTGCAGAATAACTTAATTTTCACATATGTACAGGTGGTACAAATTTACCACTTTATTCAACTCAATAAACTTTTAATGTCCAAGGAGTATAAGCTTCAGAGCAGCAAAACATGAGCCACAGTCACTCCAACACTGCTTCTCCTTGTGCTCATGGAGACAACTGATGTCCACTTGTTTGTTTCTGGGTCATACTTCTCAATACTGTTAAGACTGGAGCTGCCATCATTACCTCCCACTGCAAACAATATGCTGTCAATTACTGCCACATCATGGGTGCTGCGGCGAATACTCATAGGGGCCAGGCAAGTCCATGCATCAGCAACAGGTTCATAGCGCTCCATTGTGTTCAAACAAGATGCTCCATCATTACCACCTATGGCAAGAGAGGTGTAATAGAGAATTCTTAAATAATGGACACTTCATTAAATACTATATTTGTTGAGTTCCTGTAGCATTGATGACATGGTTTGCAATTGAAATAGACAACATGGCAGAGTATTAAAAAACAAACAAACACATTTGGAGGTTTAGTTTGATCAAACAAGTTTATAAAGTAAATTGGCCACTGTACAGAGTTTTTAAAGCTGACATTTTGAATGTAAGCCCTTTGCCAGAGTGAATGGATGATGACCACCTAAAGCTTGTGCTGAGACCAAGACAAAGAAAAAAGGGAAATTTAAAACAGACCCTGGGGGATGACCATTTTGTACACCAGTTCATCCCACTTACAGTAAGTTTTAGACTAAGACTAAGCACAGGAAACGTTACATCAGACTACAAACAGCTGCAGCTCAAAGAGCCAGAAAAGGAAGACTCCAATTCAATTTGCACTTTGTAACTTACCAACAACATACAGCATGTCATTCAGTACAGCCACACCAGCACTGCTTCTTCTGCTGGCCATACTGGCAACTATTCTCCATGTGTTGGTCATGGGGTCAAAGCACTCCACTGTGTTTAGGTGTGCACTGCCATCGTAGCCTCCTATGGCATAGATGATGCCATTCACTACACCCACGCGCACATACCGCCTGAGGGAAGAAAGTGTTTGAAGGTAAGAATCAAATGTGTACGTCACTCTCTATGATGTAGTTAAGCACTGTTTGCTGGCTGTGCAGCTAGAAGTTTTCTTAAATGACACTCATGTCAACAGACCTTATCTTATGTGCACTTTTTTTGGTTATATTTTTTGCATTACAGACTAGAAAATTTCTCAGAGACCCCTGGCGGAAGATTGGCAATCTGTCAGGGGAACACAACCAAACAGGCAAAAAGGGGGCCTTGCAGTCCAAACTTGAGTCACATAGGCTGTTAGACATGTTTTAGCTTGCCTACAGGGTGATTATTGTCACTTGAGGAGATCTACACAGTACTGTGATGTCCTCAACTGGCAAAGCTCACCCAGGAGGCTACTGATGGCTTTAACCCTTTACCTCCCAAGATCTGTTTGTTAATTCTCCCCACTAACTGCTACACATTTCTTTGTAAATTGGTTATGAGAATTTGGTGTTAAATCAAACAAAAAACTTCAACCTAATAAGCTTGAGAATTCTCATTAACCTTTTCCAGGATAATGTGTGGATATTACAGCGAGAAATGACATGTTAATTACTTCTAGAATCTAAAGGATTGACACCTCTTGTGGCTGTTCTCAAGAGCCATTCTCAAGAAAGGGTCATTCAAGTTAACAACACCTTTTTTTGGCCTCCAAGGACATCCACTCCAAGAAATTGACAGCAAAATATACAAGGTATATCAGTTCAGTATCAAGGGCATTTTAATTAATGTAAAACCCACTGAACTCCCAGAGTCCAATAGTAAAGTTCTGTAATGTTTTGTTCAGCTTGAGGAATTGAGCAGCTAGATTTTTTCAGTTGAACAATTTTAATTTGTGTTACATTCTTCATTCTTAACAATTTTTTTACCATTATGGTTTATTCACTGCTCTTTGGATTTTCACTACAAATAATGTTGTTGTGGTCAGATCACTTGAATTACCAATTTTGTAAAAAGTTGCATAATACATGCAAAAAAAAAAAAAAGATGTAAGATGGATATTTGGGGCTAGAAAGTAATTTTATTTGTACAAATATCCACCAAAAGAAGATACCTTCGTGTGTTCATGGCTGCAACTGATGTCCACTGAGCTGTCAAAGGGTCAAATCTCTCAACACTATTCAAACAGGATGCTCCATCATAGCCACCAATGGCATAAATCAAACCATTTAAGACAGCAACACCCAGACAGCTACGACGCGTTCCCATTGATGGAACTGACAACCACTGATTACTCTGAGGACAGTAAGCTTCAACTGTTGCCAAGTCATTACTTCCATCATATCCACCAACAGCGTAAATTCTCCCACACACTGTCCCAACACCCACCCTGGCACGCTTGGTTGACATGGGAGTCACCATGCACCATCTGTCAATCCTGGGATCATAGCACTCACACTCACTATGAATGGCAAACAGACTGCCCCCTCCAATGGCAAACAAGATTGGTACTTGTCCCGTAGGCTTGCGGGAGACAGTTCTGGGGCTTTGAAGCACTGAGCGCTGCTCTGGTAAAAGGTGGTACTTCATCGCTTCGATGAGCAAGTCTTTGCAGTCTGGGGTATTTCGTATCAATTCTTCACTTTCAACGCGGGTCATTAAGCATTCTCTTGTCAGCAGGGGAAGCCTCACAAATGGTAACAGGTCTCTTACAAATTCCCTGCGATTGTCCACGTCGAACTTGACCCAGTTTATAACCGCATTGTACACTTGCTCCTCATTTTCTACGTTCACGTCACTGTTAGAGATGAGATCCAAGACTTGTTCGACAGAAAGGAGCATAAACTCCTCGGTTTGCGAGACTTGCAAAAAGTGCTGAAGGGCGAAACGATGCGAAGATTCCAATAAGTCCACGCAGGTATGAGTGTCAGCGAAAGCTCGAATACCAAGACAGTTTGAGGGATGAAGTTGATTCTTAAGAAATTCACAGCAAGCATCTTTTACGCTTGTTAGCTGTAATAAACTCGACGCGGGGAGCAAAGCTTGCACGTTATCTTCGCTTACTTGAATGCGCGCGGTGTAAGCAAAGTCCACGAGTAATTCGATGGCATCAGCGTCGACTCCTTGCAACGTTATATCTCTTTGCCTGCTTTCAATTAGCTCACTCGTAAACATGGCTTGAAAATATGGACTACATGACGCCAACACGAGTCGATGCGCGGCAATCCGCCGCTGAGGTTCACCAACGAGTAAGTTCACATCACACAGTTCGCACTTAGACCTCATTATTTTCATACAACAAAATGCTTCTTCCGTGTGCGTCGGCGAGAAATGCGATATGAACTCCACTCGCATCTCTTGGTGAGATGTCGCTCTAAATTGCTGCATATTCGTCTCTCCACTGGTTCTGAAAGGTCGCTATTTGTGAATCAGAAACGTTCGTGTTTCGAAACGCTCAGGAAAAGACTTCCTCGACACTTCTTTGTGCTAAAATGACAAGAAGTGTTTCGTTAATCTTCCTCACTAAGATTGCGCCGTGATCCCACAAGACAAACTGATCCTTAATCAAGGAAGCTTTGATTGATGTATTTATCGTTAGCCGCCGCAATTTTTTCATTCGTGCTACGCTGAGATCATTTCGATAGCGAACCAAGCGCCACAAGGGTAAACAAAGGATACATTTCTCTATTAGAACCCAGGAACTTTCTTTAACCCCGGTCAATATGGCGAACCGTGTGATGGAGACACAATATTTGTATTCATGATCACATGCTCGAACACTGACTATGATCTGATGTATGCGTAGATGCGCAGGATACGTGTTAGGAATCTGAACTCGTAGTTAACTGTTGAGTCTTTCATTTTTAAAAAGGTGTCTAAGTGAATGGTGCAAATTTTCGGTCGTCTGCCATTTTTTTTTCATCATGATAATTCATATGAAGGTGGTATGTCACAGAATCGAGGCGAGGTCATCGAAGGATCTTTAAGACGAAATTAATTCTCGGAAAGGTTTGAATTATCAGGTAATTTGACCAAAATTTTACAACACAATAGATAAAAATGAAAATTTCGCATTCATTCCTCTTTTTAAAACGTCGAGTTTTACAGATTTGTTGATTCAGCCTGTGAGCTGTGTTTGGACAACAAGAATGGTGGAAACAAAAACAGGTGTCTTTGGTTCCTATCGAGTGCGGAGAACTGATCAAGCCTCTATCATAAAATATCGCAAAGAGCAATAAGGAAAAAGTTACAGAAAAAAGCGTTAAACCTCGCTCGGCATTGTAAGTATAACCTCTATTTTCATGATCTTGAGAACAAAAGAAAACTTGATATATCGACAATAATTAGAGCTGCTTAAACTATAAAGTTATATAGTTGGTAGGGGAGATGTTAATTTTAATGTAGCGCTTCACTCAACTTTGAGAATCGATAGTGATCAGCATTTGGAGTATACCTAGCGTCTTAAGAATAAAAGTCGGCTATACTGGCGGTCTACCGCCGCCTGTAAAGGTTTCTGTTAGGTTTCCCCCTTACAGCCCCTTTTCTGGGCACAGCTGCCTCTCACACCATCGTTACGTAGCCGCCTATGCAGAAATTTATTGAAACCCCTGGATAAACTTAAATACTTTGTGATGAGTTCTACCATAGGCAAATAAGATCATTGCACTGAGGTTTTATGACTGTGGTTTAACCCGCGTCAACTTACTTGTGATTCAGTGTTATGTTCCCAACTTGATATTTTGCGGTTTGAGTGGCCCAGGCATTTTCTTTTTAAATATTCCCCACATAGCAGAAACTAATTTTTTCTTTTATTTTGTTTTAAGGGAAATAAAGATGGCGTTAATATACACGATCATATTTCTGTTGTTTGTACCTGGTAAGATTGAATGGATTTGATAGCGTTAATAACACAGCCCTTATAACCTAATTATGTATCGAGGGAAAATTAGAATTTGTGATTATTTCGAGCTCAGATTGTGGTAGATATTTAAATCAGCTTTTCCGATGTAAACGAACGATTTTCACAGAGATTCGTTTGACCAGTAGACTGTGACTCTGAATTGTCATTTTCACACCTATCATACTTCTGCGAGGTCGATGGAATTGTTCGAGTATCGTTCAGGAAAGGACAAAAAAATTTGCGTTTAGAGTGTGATAGACTCGTGGAAGGCTCCTTTGCCTCAGTGGTAAAGAACATCCGAAGTACCAATCGGAAGATTTTAGGTTCGACTCCTATCGGGAGTAATTGGAGTTCTTTTTATCCGAGTATGCCTGCATGTGTTATTCACTGAATACATCAGTCATCTTTCACTTGAGCACGCCATCTTCGAACATTTACATCATCAAGATTTTACCTGTTGGAACAGCAGCTACAATGAACTTGTATCAAACGTAAAAAGAGCTACTCAAGACGTCTGATTACCATACCTGTATTCTATTAAACAAATATCTCTATCATTTGTCATTTTTTTCCTTTTTTAGCCAGCCTTGCAGACGGACTATTTGAAATATTACTTCCTAAAAATACGAGTTTATGGGTCGCAAATGGAAAGGCAAGGCGAGTCACCTTCGCATATGATCAGGGGGAGGTCGACAACTGGAATGTGGAACTTACGGACGGCAGAGATCATACTGCTCATGCGTACTCAACTGATATAATATTTCCGCAGAAAATTGGCGGAAAATTAGTTTATGTAAAGCAAGTACACGTGCCTGAGACCTTGAAAAGTGGCGAATACAAGGTGAAAATATGTGGATTGCTTAAAGATGGCAGGAAACTGTGTCAAAAGTCTGATGCGTTTCACATCGAAGGCGATCAAATGGAATGTAAGCATAACAATTTACATGCAGCTAATCAGAGTAAATGTTTGGATTTTAGAGTGAGTTTTTCTACGTGTTATCGTGAACATTGTCTAATTCATTTAGCCCACGACTCAGAGGAATTTGGTTGGTCGGGCGTATGTGGAAAATCCGCGGCACCCATCGGTCATGAATTAGCTGAGTTTGCGCAGCGGTCAAGCGCATGCAGGTTCTTAAGATAGACGCTGTGTATTTGATTCGAGTTCGAGTGTTTACGGGCTTAACACTGAATTATAAATTCACCATACTCTGGTGTTGCTTCTTCAAACTGGCTCTCATTTAAAAGACTTGAAGCTGTGATCACGATGGTATTCTATAAATACAAGTCATTGCAATTAGAATACGATCATTTTGTGTGGTTGATGGGTATTATCGAGTTTAAAAATGGCTTGATGACTCCCTATCAAATTAGAAATACATTTTTCAAGCCATACTAAATCGAGAGTCATCTTTTTTAAATGTGTGAGATTAAGATGATGAGCACTTAGAGATAGAAAAAAACATTTAAGGTCTTATCCTAAAGCGCTGACGAGGAGAATTTGTCAGACAATCGAGAGCTTTTTTAGTCGCTGATCATTTCCTTATATTTTTGTGATCTAAATGTTTGATTAAGGGTTGATATTGTAGGGGGAAATTAGATATTCGTCACTCTTACGGGTCAAAAGGGTTAATGAAATGAGCGTAAGAGAGAAGGGATGAGTTGGTCCTCTGCTGTGTACGATCCCATCTGATTCACTTTCAAGAAAAGGGGAAACTAACTGATAACAGAATTACCAGTCAGGCCCTCAAATGTCAATGAGACACAACTGAGGGATTGCACCATAAGAACACCTTGCCTATCTCCTTCATCATCATCATCATTCATCATTTATTAGCCACTTCAGATGTAATATCTATGCAGGTTTAACAGTATGGAGGGGCGAAGAGACCTCCAAAAAAACCAGGCGGCTTATGGGGGAGGCCACTTTGGTTGTCAATGAGTTGTTGATGTGGATGTGCGGCTTGGCCAATTCGGACTCATTTCATTAAAAAAATCAATCATCTCTATCTAAAGTAAAAGTAAAAAGCTAGTCAAACCAGTAATCGATGTTGGGAAAGAATTCCAAATTTTAGGACATTGGTAGAGTATTGTAAATTGTTTAAGACTAGTACGACAAGTTCCTACTTTAAGTCAGGTTCGTGGATTTGCTTATGATTGCAAACGGCTTTGTCTACAAAAAAGAATGAGTGAAACTATAACGGAGAAGAAAATAAATTAATAAGTTCTGAACTAAAATCGTTATTTCTTCCTTCCTTGTTCAAAGCTTCGCGTAACAAAGATGACCTTCAGCCGCACGAAAAGAGATTTAGATCCAGACTGAGCGCTTTTGAAGATTATTTGCGGAAACTGGACGTAGTGGACATCTGGCCGATACACGAAACACATTGTACTATCCCAAAGATACATAAACCCAGCAAAGAAGAGTTCACTGAGAAATGCATGAAACCAGGTACTGGTTGTAATTCATTTTCTTTGTCGCTGGTATTCGGTTGATTCTACAATTACAGAGGAGGTAAATTTCCACTACGCGATCGTTAAGTGATTTTACTTTAAGTTGTTAAAAGCGAAGGTTTTCCTCAAGGAGGGCTATTGCGCAGTGAGTTGCGGTTCAATAATCTTTTGCCACACAATGCTAACAAACTAAGTGCAACTTAGATTTATGTGAGTTTTCAAATTCCCCTTGATGTTATTGCGCGTTCAACTGATTCCTATTGTGTGATATAAAATAGCTTACCAATCATTTTACAGACAACTTGGGTATTGTGTGAATCTCCGATTTAAGTCTTGAGTAATGAATGAACATTTGTAGGTCAGGCTTGTATTATAACGGGCATGATGGAAAACTGGAAAGCCATGGACAAGTGGCTGTTTGAGACATTCCAGCATGATCCTCGCATAGAGGACGGCGTGTATATTGGTCAGAGGCTAACCCCGGTGCCACTAACAAATTACGTGAAGTATCTGAAGGAGAGAGCCGCCAACGAGACTGCGCCGTGGGTTATCTTTATGTCAGATGTGTTTGATCTGTATCCTGAGCTGCGAGAGGTAAATTTTTGAGGGACGGTGTTTCTGGGGAGTGACGGATATAATTTATTAGCTTTCTTAAGTATGTATAATTTATAGATGTATTGCGTTTATTGAAGATGTAGCTGACCTTGTCGTATAGGAAAGTCATAAGAGCAGTATAATTTTCATTGTCTATACAGTGGCATTCAGTCGTCTGCTGCATCTATTACAAACAACACGAAAAATTTTGGAAGCGAAGTAGACTCTAACCCGCCTTATCACGTTTAATAATGGCAAAACTTGCAAACATTGGTGATTGATTCTTATGCCTGCCTACTCACACACTAGTTTCTTTAGCATGGGAAATATAAGAGAATTGTTGCTCTTCCTGTTGTGGCTGTTAATTTGTCGTAAGTAACCCGAAGATCGCTTTCATATTTACGTCTTTATCCGCAGTTCACATATGTGATTTTCATATATTCACAGTTATTTATTTATCACCTCACGGGTTTATTTGGAACCAACATAGTGACCAGCTCTAAGTTGGCTTGTTAGCTCAGTTGGTAAAGCACTGCACCGGTATCGCAGAGATCATGGATCCAAATCCCGTACAGGCCTGAATTTTTTTTCAGACCTTATTTTCACTACTGCTCAAGTAGCGTTCATCACTGCGAAGATTGATTTCATATTCACGTCTTTATCCGCAGTTCAAATATATGATTTTCTTATATTCACAGTTAGTTATCAACTCAGTTGATAATACTAAATCACCCTGTTATGCTCT